TGGCTGCAGCGAGGATGGAGGGCTGGGAAAGCAACTGAACCGAGCGTGTGAAGAAACAACCCGAAGGCTTTGGACCACCGTCCCCCCGGCCCTCTCCTCTGCAGGAAATGGAAAGCCCCCGGGGCCGCAGCGGCCGGGCTGCGGATCAGCTGGGGAGCAGGACGTGCTCCAGAAAGTAGGTGATGGAGTCCCAGTGTTTCCAGAGGAAGAAGAGGAAGAGGACGAGCAGGGCGGTGCTGAGGATGCGCATGCGGGTCTTCATGAGTGGGGTGATGAAGTTGGCGATGGTGGAGACGAAGACGAGCAGCACGGCCATCAGGGCCAGGATGACGTTGATGAACTTGCCCAGCAGTGCCCGGGCGTTGGCGTTCTCCACCCCTTCCAGCTGCACCACTTGCTGCTGCTGCTGCTGCAGCTCCAGCTTGGTCACCCGCGTCAGGCAGGACTCCACGGCCTCCTGCGAGGGACAGCACATCAGGGCTGGCCGGTGGCTCCCAGGGATGCCCTGCGAGGGCTTTCAGTGCTTGCCCCGTGCTCCGAGACCTCACTGCTGCAAAGTTTTACTTGCACAGCTCTGATGGGTGATCGCCTCGGCTGGAAAGGGCTTTCCCTCTGCCAACCCTTGGCGATGAGCACGGCAAGCCTCGTCCTGCTCTGCCTGTGCTGGGGAAGGTCTCGGTGCCAGCAGTACCCACTGCAGCAGGTGAGATGACCCAAACTGGGACAGCAGGGACTATGTGCTGGGCCACACGTGGCTCGTAACAGCCCAGCGCTGCAGCCGTCCACCCGGAGCCTTGTCCTGCCTTGAGCATCTGGGGACTTTAGCATGGTGGGGACTCGCTAGGGCACAGGCAGGGCTTTTGGGGACATGGCTTAGTTACCTGCTTCTTGCCATGACAGCATCTCGGTGAGGACCTCATCTGGAGGGTGCTAGAAAGAGGGATCCCCCTTGCCCAGCCTCTCTCCCATCCCAGGGTCCCTCCCTCGCCCCACAGATGGAGGGTGCAGTGGGGGGGGGCTTGAGCCCTCACGCTCTCCTACCTGGATGTCCCGTGCCCTCTCGTAGGACTGGTAGGCCACCTTCTCTTCCATGCTGGCCAGCTCCTGCTTCAGGTTGGTCATTTCGTTCTGGTGCAGCTCGGTGAGATCGTTCAGCTGCTCCTCCAGGCGCTCGTACCTGCGCACGGGAGGTGGAGGGGTGCTGGGGTGGGCAGATCTCCCCGCAGACCCCCCTGCCCTCCTTCCCCTGACACTGGGGAAACCACCCA